CGGCACCGCGCAGCAGCTGCTTACGCGAGTCTTTGGAGGCCAGGGGGTAGTCGCGGTTCTTCTTCAGATCCGTCCTGGCGATGATGGCCACGAGCTCGTCGTTGTCATTCACAATGGGCAGCTTGCCTGTTTTGCATCAAGAATGTCAACCGATGACAACAAACTGACCCAAATAAGTATTTTTACCTTTTTTACTGCGCTGAAGAATGTCGTTTGCTTCTTTCAGCGTGACGCCAGCCGGAGCGACCACCAGCTCATCCCTCTTTGTCATTGCCTTAAACGGCACAAGCAGAGAACTTATATAGTCTATATTTTGATATTCTAGATGAATCCATGGATAAGATGCATGCGTTCCCAGCTCACACCTCCGCCAAAGGCTTGGTGTGGTCCTTCTCCGAGAGGAAGTCGATATCCCTGGAGGTGACGATGCCCACCAGCTTTCCGCCCATTTTGCCCGTTTCGGTGACGGGGATACCCGAGAAGCCGTGGCGCATTTTAGCCTCAAGCACATCGCCGACAGTCTGGCGCGGGCTCATCACCACTGGGTCCGTGATGAAACCTTGCTCAAATCTCTGAAATTTGAATGGCATGTATAGAAATACAAATTTTAAAGTAAACTAAAAAAAAGATGATCACTGGATTGACGATGACAAGATAACGCTGGCATACCTTGACCTTGCGGACCTCATTTGCTTGGAATTCCGGTGTGCAGTTGTGGTGGATGAAGCCAATGCCTCCCATTAGCTATGAAGTCAATAAGATTCTTTGAAATTGAGTCATCATGATATTAAAGCACCCACATGATCAACAACTTACTGCCATTGCGATAGCCATTGCCGACTCTGTAACGGTGTCCATGGGGGATGAGATGAGGGGGGCCTTCAATGTGATCTTCTTGGTCAGCGCTGATGTTAAATCCTAACAGGTGAAAAAATATTGAAATAGTCAGCTCGTTTCAACGCCCGCGTATTTATGCATATCGGCCACAAGGGGGCGTCAATTCATCTTGGAACAGGAGATAAATGATCCAATCAGTCTTTCTCAATAACGGACTAACTTTATCTGCACACTGGCCTCCCACAAGGGGAGGTATCTGTGCGAAAATAACAACAACATTCCTGCCACATGGGAAAGGGTTGAATGTATCCTTGTCAGATATAGAGCAGGAAACAGGCAGCGTTTGTCACACTGCGAAGGTGAGGAGGAGGGTGGAAAAGCCACCTCAGACTTCCATTTATAGAGCAATCACTCAGCTGTGAGATTCCAGCTGGGAGATGGGAATATGTGAACGTCCGCACACACTTGCACACCGTACACACACACATGGTCGGTGACATCTTGGTACAGATTGAGGTGTGTGGGGGGGTGAGGGGGGTCTACTGAAAGCCAGATGTAGACTTATTTTTCTTGTCAGCCACGAATGACAAGAACAGGCGACTTTGAGGCCACAATGGATCAATGACAGAAAGGTGAAGCATCCAAGAGTAAGAGCAAGGTATTAAAAGATCAAGAAGTCGATTTTGTAAAACGGAAGCAAAGAATGTCTGTCAGCCAATCAAAATGCAGCACTGTCCTGCCATTGTATGGCACCCTTTATTTTCGGATATATGTCCTTGCATAATGTTATATATTTTAATTGTTTATGTTTTTAATTTTTTTTAAAGTGTTTATTCCATACGTCGATTTCCATTCAGACAGTATATGTTGACGCTATGAAGAATCGAAATTGTCGTGTCACTGAAAATGTTAACATTGACCAGGATGGTTTGCTTTGAGCATTACTCTTAGCAGTGCAAACGGAAGCAAAGAATGTCTGTCAGCCAATCAAAATGCAGCACTGTCCTGCCATTGTATGACACCCTTTATTTTCGTATATATGTCCTTGCATGTTACATATTTCAATTGTTTATATTTTTAATTTTTTTTAAAAAGTGTTTATTCCATACGTCGATTTCCATTCAGACAGTATATGTTGATGCTATGAAGAATCGAAATCGTCGTGTCACTGAAAATGTTAACATTGACTAGGACGGTTTGCTTTGAGCATTACTCTTAGCAGTGCGGAGCAGACTGAAGGGAGAGGCGTCAAATGTGCAAAAATAATAAACAAGGCTCTTTCTGTTTGGCAGTCAGGTCTGAGGTTTGGCATCGTCGAAATGAGTCTGGATGGGGAATGAGGCAGGACAGACATGATGACGTACTCACCACTTCGTCTGAGGTGAAGTCAATGAAGCCGGGCAGAATCAGGAAGTCACTGAAAGACAACAAAAAAGGAGAACATTACCACAAAAAGTCCAAACAAAACAGTCTGGTCAGAAATTTCCTCAAAACTCATGAGAATGAGATATAGAGGACCTAAAATTTTTCCCCGTCGCTGTTCACATCAACTATCATTATTTTTCCACTCGAATATCCGCAATCCACCAATTGAAGTTGGAAAAAAAAGAGTAGTTTTACTCGAGTGTTTTGTAATGTCTGTTCCTAGTTGTATGGCAGTTTACAATGTGACGTTGACATGAACATTATTTTTCAGCTATTTGGGGTGGAGCAAGGCCCTCAAAACAAGATGGCCGGGCTGGAGTGTTTGTGCCCCCACGCCCACAAACATCCGTGTGGAGACCAGCAGGAATTCCAGAAAAGCATCTGTTAGCAATTAGCCGCCACAAAGTCGAGCTTTGACACAGCAAAAAAACAAAAATTAAATATAAAAAATTTAATTACCGGTACCAGTCTGTAAATGAAGTAAAGACTACACAGGGAACGTGCCCTGCAGTCTTTGATTTTTGCCATGCAGGATGACAGTGCATATTAAACAAGAGGGCGGAGCAACACGGGAGAGATAGCCAAAGAAAAAAAAATATCAAGCAAAAAGTAAAAAAATAAATCAGTAAGAGGTGTTTACAAAATTCCTTAAAAATTGCATCCTACAGTGGCAACGTGTCCAATTTTCTTCGGTTAAATGTCGGCCACTAGCCAATTCTACCCTCAAGCCTGCAAAACATTTTTGCCCATTTTAGGAATTCACAATGCAATGTGACCTGTGTGGACCAACAGCGAGCCCATAAAAACCCTCAAAATTCACAGTGTGGTATGGAATCAAGAAGTCGCTCGTTAGTCATATCTATAAATACCTAAAGAACAAATATTTGAATTTATGGCACGACAAGTGATTTTCAGTCCACAGGGCATTGAGTGTGCTTTCTCCTGGAGGCCATTTCTGGACACAAACTTCCATTTTGAGGTAAAATAACAGCACGCCGGCCGGCTAGTCTTTCCAATAAACTTTTGAGTGGGAGGGCTGGAATTTCACGCCCCATGGCTTTGTCTCACACTTTTTGAAACCACTCTGCCTCTGTTCTCTCCTGCTCTTCACATGATTTCTATCGGGGCTGTCATGTGAGCGACCTCGGAGGACGCCGTGATGCGTGCGATTAAGTCGCTAATGGGAAGCGTGTCCTTAAAAATCAGCCGATCAATCAAGCGCAGAGATGTTCAGTTAAAACGGTAGTTTCGGGGTACAATTGCAATCGTTTGCCTTGTTTTGTCATGAAAACGTGACTTGTAAATGATTCGTCATATTGGACATGATGGAATTTCATTAATGAAGGCAGGCCATGCATAGAGCACATGCACAGAGATAGAAAGCACAGTGGAACCTCCAAAATGTCATTTCAAATGTTATGATGGTAGTTACATGCGAGTCCATGAATTGTTACTTTTTTTGGGGGGGGGCTCCTGTTTTCTTCAGCGGCCGTCAAGAGAATGAGCGCTTTGTCCAGTTTTGTTATTGGGCCCAAAGAATCCAAATTGCAATCCGGCATTACGCTGACAGCGACATGTGACTTAAACTAGCATCCACTTGCTAGAATTAACGCGTACGTAATTCATATTTAAGTCGATGTTCGCACCACAGCTCCAAAATGATTTTTTTTTTTTGCCTGCATGCAACTAGTATCAGATTTTTTTTCATGCAGTGTGAACAGTAACTTTTTTTTTCCAAATCAGACCTGGGCCTCTTTCATAGGTGGATATAATTATATTCATATGTATATGAAGCATCTGTTTCATGCAGTGTGAACAGTAACTTTTTTTTTCCAAATCTGACCTGTGCCTCTTTCGTAGGTGAATATAAATCGCATATGTATATGAAGCATCTACAGTGTGAATGCTCACATCCCCAAAATTTATATCTCCTCCCGCCCCTCTACTATGGCGATAGGAGATGATAAAATGAGCCATGTGATGCCGTTTTGTTTTTCTTTTGTGACCGTCACTCGATGTCGCGCTTTGCGCGCATGTTTGTTACATCATGGACGGGTTGCCTTCACATGAAAGGTTTTCCTAGAATATGCCCAATTTGTTCCGACTTTAGAGGTTCCATTAAAAGGCCATTGTTCATCCCATACCG